TGATAAACTCAGACTTAACAAGATGTGGTGGTGAGCCCGGTTCATTAGTCGTTCAGCTACCTAGCTAATCCTGCATCCAATATCTCAAAGTCTGCAACAATCAGATGCCGTCGTGGCAAGCCTGAACCACTGGACAAACAGCAGATTAGGGGTGCATGACAAATGCATCACACCACATAACTCTGCAAGGAAAATGGGAGATGGAGGTGTGAGGAAATATGGGATGATTTGGGTCACAAGATAAACCTGTACCTTAAAAGAGGAAAATACTGCAAGGAGGAAGAAGAACAGGAATGTGGGCAAAAGGGTAGGGAAACTATAATGTGGGTAATGTGCATGTGGTTAGGAAAGATGCAGAAGGCTGAGATAAAAGGAAAAGGGGCAGACATACCATGGAGGAGAAGGACAAGAGAATGTGCAAAAACAGCTCCAGCAAAATTGTGGGGTTTTTAACACATATCACCATAGCAGGACCAAATCAGGTGCACTGAGAAAGGAAGAGAATGTGCAACTGTTCAAACCGCTCTGTGTGTTCTTAATCTGATAGATGACAGCTCTTCCTTTCTTCCTCTGCCCACAACACAGAATTGTTCCCCAGTTCTCCCCACCATTTATCCATCCACCTGTACTGGGGTGCATCAAGATTTGTAAGCAAGCTGGCAGGTCAAGTGTCTCCCAGGATGAAAGTACACAGAAAACCATGAAGGGAAATGTGATGTAGCTATCAGTTTGGGGACGAATCTAGCCAATTTCATTGTTTCCTCTATTGGTCCCTGGGGTGTTTAAGCAACATCTTTTCATTCCCAAGCACTAATTCATGCTTATAACATGCCATGAGATACATAGACAATAAGTATTACCTCCATTTTACAGGGAAGAAAATGAAGACTAATAGATTGAACAATTTAGCTACACAACAGGGAAGGTGAATTCCCAAAGCAGGGAGTTAGACAAAATGAGTTCTTCATACTGTTCCCTGACCATAGCAATTGATAATATTGCTGTTCATACCTGAGCCCCTCAAAGCAAGACAGAAGGCTGCCATCAGACTTCAGGGCTGTTCCTGTTCTTTGTTCATTTTACACCCCATGGTTACTCAGAATCAATTACTGACATACCTGAGATCTGTACAACTCTCAGTAGATCAATACTCTTTTTTTTTTTACTGAAAAGCAGGCTTGAACTGTAAAAACTATCAGGTGCATTTAAAATAAATAGACAAGAAAGAAAGAAACAAAAGAACAGCAGACCTGAAGGACATAGCAAATGTGAGGAAAGAAGCAAGTACCATATTGAAATCCAATGAGAAAGGTTAAATGCATAAAAAGAATGTAAGAGAAACCACACAAGGAAGTGCAAGGCTGTGAGCTACAGAGAAATCCAAACAAATACAGATTGCAGCACATGTACACCTAGCTCCAGGTCAGTGAGACAGCAGGATGCCACACACCCTGAGCTCCCCTCAGAGCTGCTTACCCCACTGGTTTCAAAGTCTAGCAACTGCAGCTACCAGGTAATGACGTCTGCAAAGCACACAGCAGCAAAAGTGCTCACCACCTCCACACCATCTCAGCCTAACCAACAACTGCTGCACCAAGGGAGGTGTGGAGAAAAGTCATACTAGCAAGAAGCATATAATTACAGCTAAACTGCAACCATCTTCTGGATTTGACTGTCTGTGGGGTTCTGATCAAGCTGAGGTTACCTGGCATCTCCACAAGATTTTCCTACAATTGCTCACTGGTTGTCATGTACCTTCCTTACTCAACAAGAAGCGTGGGGAAAATAAGATTGATTTGCCTACATATATGAGAGGAGGCTGCATTCAGTGCATGGGATAATATAGTCCCTGCACAAGCCAACCTCACTGACTTGTGAGTTTTTGGCTCTGCAATCTGTGGCAACCTTCTAAATCCTGTTGCAAGAAATGGGCTAACAGTGTCCCAAACCCACCTCACACTTCCTGGCATGAAGGGCCTTCACACAACACCTCCAAAATAGTAGCAAAGGTACAACCAAAAGCCTTTGATTAAATCAGGTATTCAGTAAACATTCCACTCATTTGTGCTAGAAAACTAAGCAACAGAATAGTGTGCAGTGTGGAAGAAGGCATTACATTTTTGAGGGGTCTGTTTGGGGCTTATTGTTTTAAAGAACCAGTGACTGGTAGGGAGCAGGTTGCTGAAAACAGCCAAATTTTTGTGCAGCAATTCAGGGCCAACCAAGACATGCCATGGTTGAATTAAACCATCATTTTCAGGTTGCCCTTCTTTTTTGCTCATTATTTTTGACTGCTCATTATTTTGTCTGGCAGTTACTGTAGTGGCAAAACATTCCCTCTAAACCTAAAAAAAAAAAAAAAAATTAAAAATAAAAATGAATGGCACATGCAACAATGATTCAGCAGAGGTTAAATATTCTGTGTTGGCTAAACCTAAGATCATTATGGTAGAAAGATAAATGGTTCTCATGCAGCTTCTGGGAGATTTTTCTGCCTCTTATTTAGATGATATGCACGTGATCACAGGTTGGTAACTGCCCATGAAACACATGCTGGTGAACACAGAGATCTATCATTTGCTCTGAAAGGAGAAAAATTCACCCAATAATTTTATAAATATAACCAGGAAGCATCTTGTGCACTTAAAAGAGATCAGCAACAGCCTCTGCACCTCAGAGGTTGATTCTGGGTGATGTTTCAGGCACATAAAGTCCAGTAAAGTTGATCCCAACCTAAAGAACACAAGATCATTTACTCCTTGAACAATAGACAGGGAGATTGAAACAGAAGCCCTACCTCATTTTGAAAATGGTTTGGATGGCTGTAAATAAATAGCAGATGCTACAGCAGCCTTAAAATTTAAGATATGCACTGTCTAGCCTTTTCCTTTAGACCTGAACCCGCACTTAGGACAAATAAATTAATATTAGAATTATTTTTAGGAGCTCCCTAAATAACAACTCCTACTTTTTTCATCCCATTCCACCCCTCTTTTGACACATTAATTACGCTATTGCTTTTTTGAACTGTGTAAGAGGAAAGTCCATTGCAGATGGATTGCAGACACTCATTTACATAAGAAATTAACTCAATTTGGAGCCATCAGCTCAGCTAAATCAAAGTAGAAGCAATATATAAAGGCAATGTCATACCTGGGTAGATTTAAAAAATATATATTTAAGAATCTATGGGGATGGATCATTCTTATAAAGGACTTTAACAAGGGCAGGTCTTTACTCACAAATAATTGCCACTCTCTCAATAAACACCTGAAAGTTTGTGGATAGAAGCCACAGGTGCAAATATCCAAACAGACAGCTACCAACTGGCCACTAACAAATTGGTATAAATTATCATCTGGTCAGAGAACAAATCATAGAAAAAAAAGTGCAAAATTAATCATTTGCAAGTTACAGTTGCTCTGTGATGGTGTAGCCACCCAGATACTTCACCTATACTAGGGGTGCTAAGTGCCTGGAGAAAGTGCTCTGGTGTTGACTGAGCATTCCAAAAGGTTTTCACTGGAAAGCCAGCTTTGCAAAGCATTTATTTTCACAAGAAATGTAGAGGCACTTTGGGCCAACCCTCTTAAATATGCTCAGATACTCTGGAATTGGCAAAAATTTCCACAACTTGTTCCCTCAGCAGCAGCTCCGGCCTTTGGGATGCATTAACATTTCAGATTACCCCCATTACTTTAAAATGCCCTCCTGTGAATTAACACACTGAGATTGGAATCACTCTACTGACATTTCACATGTGTTTTCCTAATGCAGCCACAGTCACAACTCAAGCATTCAAGTCTTTGTCAGTTTGAAAAGAAAATAGAAAAAAGTGAAAATAAAAATCTCTGACCAGCTTCACACCAGTCTTCTTCAAAACCCAGAAATGTTTGAGGTGTCTTCCCAAGCAAAAAAAAAAAAAAAAAAAAAAAAAAGGATCTGTGAAGGGGAAAGAGGGGAAGAACAAGTGTCTTGGGCAGAAAGAGAACTCCATGTAGCTGAGATGAAATAAATGTGTCCTGTGAAACAGGAAGAAAAGGGGAGGGGGGCAGTGGAGAGGGCAGCAGACAACTCTGACTTGCTTGCTCTTTCCAGGCTTTGTATTTATTTCTGTCATGGATCTGAAAAGGCAGGCAGCAGACTTTGTAGAAGTGCCTTATGAAATGAGGTAAATAATGGACCCCAGATGCCCTTGTTTCCTTCATTATTCAGTCTAGGCCTTCAAAGCTCTTTTGCAGTGTGAGGTATCAGGGGGAGGTAGAGTGCTCTGTTAACAAGATTTCAATGAGCTTTGGAAGCAGGTCCAGGGAAGCTGCTGGAAATGTTTCAGACATACAGTACTTTTGTGCTTTTCTGACCCGTATGCAGTGAGAAAACACAGGACATAGGGTGCCCTGATTTTTAAGAAAACACTGTCTAAACAGTATGTAAACAACAGCAGTGTTGTTGTGTGCATGTGATCCCTTCAATTCAGCATTCTCAAATCATTTAAAATATATTGATGTATTAAGTTCAAGAACATGGCTTCAAACTAAACTCAGACAGTTTAAAATATGTATTAAAAAAAAAAAAAAAAAAAAAAGAAGAAGAAGAAGAAGAAGAAAAGCAGCACAGTAAGTAATTGTCCAGCCAGGACCATGAAAGCAGGGATTTGAACTCCTCATTTCCCTGGTCCTTCCCCATAAGGCAAGATTTCCTGCCCATTTAGCAACAAACTGCATTTTGCCTTTGCTTTGAGACCCACCCTAAACATTTCTCTGCGCATATTTCTGAGATTCTTTATGATTCATCCTTAACCAGGAGCCACATGAACCCAACTGACACATCCAAACCCTTCCATTTTTTTGGATGGCTTTAGCATCGCCTGTCAGTTTAAATTTAAACTCTACAGTCCATACCCATTCCTAATAACTGTCCTTTCCCTGCACTTACTTGCTGTTGGTGATTGACATTTAAAAGCCCAAAAAAAAAAAAAACAAACCCACGTTTCAAGTTACCATTCCTTCAGCTCTTGCTCTCCTCATTGTTGACAGCAGCCGTTCTATATTTACTCTAGCAGCATTACATCCTGTGCGTGGGGATGGCTCTGCACTCTCAGATGTTTCCGAGTCATTCCGGGTAGGAGGATGCATTGTGAGCCGCATCCTTTCCTCCCCGGCGTCCTTCCTCACCTTAAAAAAACCACAATGGCACCACCTAAAGGACACATCATGCCACAGGGAGCCTCGCTCAATGCATTTCCCTCTCCGTGTGTGCTCTAACAACAGTCCTGACAACGCTGAGCCCTGTGGTGGCGATATTCATTTATTTCTCAGGAGCTGGCATGGCACAGAGCTTATTCACGATTATAAAATCATACACACAGGAAGAGACATCCATATTTTTATAGCTCCTCTGATAAGGCTGTAACAGAAAAGACAGCTGCCCCTTTTCTGTGCAATCAACACGAATGTAGCAGGCATGCCTAACATAAAATTTGAGCAGTTTTAGGGAAGATTAAATATAGGAAGGAAGTCTCTTGCCAGCAGAATGGTAAGTGATACTGGTCCATACAAATCTCTAATTAAAAAATATGTGTCAGAATACAAGAAATCACAAGGAAGAAGGGATAGGAGGTCCTTTCATTCCATTGTATCTAGGTAATACAGCAGCATGTATATTGCTATATGTCTTCCCATATGTTAAGCAATGGTCCTAATATCCCAGAAGAACAGGGGAGTTTTTAAGAACAAGTTGAACTTGTTCTCCTTTCTCAGCATCAGTCATAGCTTTCATAGTTCACTCTCTTACATAATTTTTGTGAAAGCATGAAGTGCTTTCACAACTGAGGACAGGCATAACATAGGCTCTTCCAAACAAAAGTATGAGGGTTTGATCATTTGGAATGTACATTTTTCTGAGTCAAAACCAAACTATTTCAAAGTTAATACAGGCAATAGCCTATTTGTGGTTTCAGTTCTATGTTGTATATTCATCCAGGTTGCTCCATTTACATCAGCAAAACTGGAGAGAAAAAATATCTGGTCCTTTAAAACTACATTTGTATATAAATGTAACAGAGACCAAGTTATGAATGACAACTAGTTTTCAAATACTTATTACAGTGAACATACAACACTGCTCTGTTCTGTGCTTTGGTTTTAAAAAGGGAAGACTAAGACACAATCAACTGACAAAGACAAAAGTTATTTTGATGGGCATCAACCAGTTCCAAATGTTGTCAATGGGCTCTGGAGATTTTCACTCAATCTGAAGTCTCTACTACAAAATACATGCACAAAGCCTTTTAATTGTTTCAGTTTGGTTACTAGTTGGAAATATTGTATGAGAAAAACTGCTTCTTGATAGATGAGGAGGGAGGCCAAAGACTGATTGGGAATAAAGAACAAACTACTTCCTACCCCCAGGTCAGCATTGGGTGGGGAATGGCAGGCTGTAATTGCCTATGCAGTTCATAAATAAGAGACTTTGGTCTCCCAGAGAGCAAAATGAGGAGGAAATACCTTTCAAGGCTTGTGTTTTAAGCATTGTTTCTGGAATAAAGTGAAAGCACGGGCTTTGAAAATACTTAATATGTCAGTTGCCCAAGAAGGATGTGCCAGCCTTAAACACAGCCATCAGGGCCTGGATACTCAACAGAACTCAACTGCCCACATGCATTTCCAAATCAGATGACTGGATTTCCTGAAGCACTAGGCCTCCAGCAGAAGTTTTGATTATTTTGGCATTTCCTTTAGGAGCTGAATTGGAAGTTGACAACAACTGCTGAGTGCTCAGCTCCTTGAAAAACCTGGCCTGGAGATTAATAGCTATACAGTGCTGAGCATACCAGTTGCCTTTTACTCAGTGTATCTCATAATTTACAGTATTAATTTCTTGAGTCTAATAAACACTTTTGGGAATCTGACCATGAGTTTTCCCACTTCATAGGTGAAACAAATGCAAAAGTACCTGTTCTAACAATAAATCTAGGGTAAAAGCTTCCACATTCAGTCTCCTGTATTGGCAGTAAACAGTACACGTAGAAAGATGAACATTTTCAAAGACAGTAACAACCTGAAGGCTGCGGGCAGGACTAAAGACACACACATAGATGAGAGAAAGATCCTGCCATTCCCCACATGATTTTGAAGTTCTATGCTCACTCTCAAGAGAGACTCTTCATTAATAACTCCAGCCTATATGATTATTCTGACCCTTCAGTACATCCCTGAGGTCTGAAGAGGACCTTAACATTACTAAAGGAAAAAGTTAATGAAAAATTCTGTGAAAGGTGTAGTAGGTGGCAAACCTACCATATAGGTGGGAAAACAGGGCAGTAGTGGTGTGCTCCTCATGGAAAGCATGAAAAGGAAAATGTCAAACCTCCTAAAGCTTCAGCCGTGCACTGCCACAGCCCATAAAACCAATTCCAGCTACATCCCCCAGCACAGTTTTCATAAAACTAAAGGGCAGCAAATCAACTGACAAAAACTTGTAAAGTGGACCATAAAAACGTAATTATCATTTCAATTGGAAATGAGGCAGATAGTTAATAAAAAATTGGTTACCTCAAAAGACAGGGAATACCTGCCAATCTCTGTGTGGGATGGACATTTTTGTGCCAGTGCATTATGCTTCCATTTCTGTCCTAAGTGGTTATAAAAGCCCATCAATTCAAGTTGTCTTCTGAGGAATTTAAGATCTCCCTATGAAATGGTCATCACCTTAGTCATATGCTCTTTAACTCTTTCTAATTGCTAACCCAGCAGCAACTACACTGCCAAGACCTGTAGTTTTTCCTAAAGCAAATATTCTGTTAAAGTTTGTAGGATTTTGATTGAGTAAGAATCCCAGGATTTGATTTTCAAATTATGTCTTGGAGAGCACAATGTGCAAAGCTGATGCCACAAGCATCCAGTTAGAAAAATAGCAAGGCATTACAAAAAAATGAAAATTAACTGCTCTAGTCACTGAGATCAAATGTGCAGAGAAAAGACTTAGAAATGTTTATTCTCCCAGATTAGATGGAATTCTAAGCAGTGCTTATTGGAAAGAAGAGATGGAGTGTGCTATGTCTTATTCTTGTTTCCTGTATCTGCCTTTCTCTTAAAAGTGCTAAGTAGCAAGGCTGTAAGGATTACAGTGCTGAGGGAATTCTTGCCACTTTCTTTCTCTCTCTCTATTTAAACACGACAACTCTTGGCAGGCCTCGGTCACATTGTTTGTGTAGCCAGGACAAGAGGGTGGAATTCTGGAACATGTTCCAGCCCACATTCTGGATTTTCCTATAAACTAGCCCCTTATTTTAAACACACGCCTCTGAATTACCTTTGTGTTGCTATGCCATTTGAAAATCTGTTTCAAACACTCCTTGCAAATTAAAATCTGATTCAGCTTGAGCTCTAATCAAGGTATTTGGTGAATAATCCATGAAAAAGGCAGTGTTTAGTTTTGCAGGAAAAATAACAAAAAATAAAGAGGGGAGGGTATGAAAGAGGAAGGATAAATGGCTCAGAATCAGCCAGGGAATATGATATCTCTCCCTCTGAATGAACAATTTTAATAACTGCCTATGCTGATTGCATAACAATTTATACAACTGGACTTTATTGCTTGTCTTGTCAGAGGACTGGCCTACCCGTTCATGAGTGCAATTTGCATATCTATCTTTTTTGCACCACCAAGTAACAGGCAAAAAATTTCAACAATCATTTGCCTGACAATTGGATGTGTTAATTTGCAGCTAAAAAAAGTACAAAATGAAGGCCAAACTGAGGCAGTCAAAAATTCAGTCCCTGCTTTCTCTTACTCAGCTGATTGTTGCACAAAGATCAACATTGCTCAATCTGGTGTGTGTACTTTCAGCTCAATAAGTGCTTTCATTCATCATTCACAACTTCATTATGAAAGTTGAACTATATCTTTAACACAAACCACACTTCCTTTGTCCTGAATGAAAGATCTGCCTGCACACACTGAAGAACAGGCTCCTTGTTGATGCAATGTTATCACATGCACTGGGGCCAATATCTTACATGTCACAACCCACAGCACAAACTGCCTGTGGAGAACAAACTTCCCATATAGAAGAGACTACTCAAGCAGAACACTATTAATTAAATGATGGAGGGAAAGAAGCTCTCTGTCTCTCTACCAGTGGCACCAGGTTTAACAATCCGTTTGTTACAAAAATGCTCCTGCATCTTCTTTCATGAACCTGCTGATGCATATTAGGACCTGCACTCCCTGCAAGCAGAGCCCTCCAGGACAGCATCTGCATACCCTATTAGAAACTCATTAACTGGCACTGGTGTAACTTCAGCTTCACATATCCATGCCTAACACCTTCTTGTTAGTTTCTGTGTTCCTTTACTTCCCTTATAGTCACTGTCCTCTTGACCGCTTTTCCATACTTAAATACTGTTTGGAAAGGATATTGTGATCTGTGTTCAGACACTCCACAACTCTCTAAGGGAAAATGTCAAACAATAACAAAACATGGGAGTTACAAGATACCACTTTCCATGTTAGCTTATAACCATTTCAGGTACTGAAAGGCACAAAAATCAGGCTGTCAGACAGGAGGCAGAGCAGGAGAACAGGGAGGGTGTTAGGAAAGAAATAACAAAGCAAAAAAAGACAAGGGAGAACCTACTTACATTTGTCAAGGCAGGCACCTTCTGTGAGTATGAAGACTGCCTCATAAAGTTAGAATAAGTTCAAGAAATGCCTGTACTGTCCATATGTAGAGCATGGATTTCATCTCACTGGATTTCAGAAGCCACTTCTGACAACTGAGATAAGATATGTCAACACTTTCTGCTTGTAGAGTTTTATTCTCTTTTAGCATATCAAATGCATTTTGTATCTTAGCAAAATCGTTTCTTCCTGTTCCTCTGCAAGCATTTTTCTGAAGGTTAACTGGAAGTGGTATTAAACATAGGACTGGAGAAGAGTGAGTGGGGAACCACACTTTCAGGGTCCATTCTCACCCTGCAGCCAAAGGAGCCTGTTCTGGTTCATGAATCCAAAAATGCAAGAGGCACTGAAGTACCCACTGCTCCCCAAGCTGGTGCTGCTTGGTTACTGCCCATGCAAAGCCCACTCCTGCACAGTGTCACAGCATGAGTGCTAAGTGATAGCCTGAGAAAACAAGTCACACGTGTAGTGCCTTGCTGAATAATACCCCTGTGCCCCTCTTGTCTCTCCTGCTCCTTTAGTCTGCTGCTGAGAAACCATTAACACACT